GGAAGAGGCAGGAAGCAAAGCAATGGAAGTAGAAATGACTTTGTTAAAGCAACAGGTAAATATTACATGTAAATCTCTCTCATTAAAACTAAATCTACTTTGGTGCTCTCTCATTAAAACTAAATCTACTTTGGTGCTCTATAAACAGAGTTTAAATATCAGCACAATGAATGTTAAAAACAAATGTTTTTTTAACTATACTTTCACTAATGGCCTCTTTAAATTGTTAATTTAAAAAAATTTTTTTTTTGCAAAGAATTTTTATTTCTGTTTTAGCTGACAGTCTATTCTGAAGACTTTGAGAAGGAGCGTCAAGACAGAGCAGCAGCTGAGAGCAAAGCAGACAAAATGAGGAAAGAGAGAGACAGAATCAAGGCTACTTCTGATGCCAAAATAAAACAACTGAATAGTCAGGTGGTTTTTTATACTGATTCTCATTGACTTTGACAAATTTTGTTATTTATAAGAGCTAATATTCACCAAATGTTATATTAAATGTCTTGTTTGTTTGATGCTTTAAAATAATGTTAATCAATGTTAAATTAAGGATTATAAATATTAATCTAAATACATACAAAAAATGAGAAAATATCCAGGAAATATACAATAAATGTATTCTTGTGTAATTTGACTTCATCAGACATATATATATACACACACACAATATAATTTCTGTCTATAGCACATTTATTCTTAAGATTTTAATATTTGAGTTAATTGACAATTTTCTTCTCTTGTCTTCCACACTAGTTCAAAAATCTTGAAGACACATTGAGAACCAAAAACAGACAAGTAGCAGATCTTCAAGTTCAAATTGAGGATTTGAAGTTACAGGTAGATATATGTTGACTTAAATAGGATGTGGTTTTGTTTTTCATCACAAAAAATAATATACAATATTTCATTTGAAGGTACTGCAGCTACTCTCTGTGAACAATAGACACTGTCTTGTTCTCTAGCTTTGTGAACTAAAGACACTGTCTTGTTCTCTAGCTTTGTGAACTAAAGACACTGTCTTGTTCTCTAGCTTTGTGAATTAGATAAATTTTATGTACCCAATTATTGTGACTAAATAAATGTCATGTTCTGTAGCTTTACATGCTAAAGACACTCAAGTTCTTAGTTTTGTGAACTAAAGACACTTTTGTATTCTCTTGCTTTCTGAAATTAAGACATTGTCATGTTCTCTAGCTTCACAGTTCCCAGCGGAAAGCCACTCTTGCTCCTCAACATTCCTACAATTATCCAATACCTGCATCCTATGGTCCAACCACTCACCTGTTTCCCAGTTCAGGAGTTGAGTCCTCCGTACCTGTTGCAGGTATGTAGACCTTTGTGTTGCAAATTTGTCTAAATTTATTAATAGATGTTACACTTCCTCCTCTACATGTTATGTTCAACTTTTTTAGGTCATCTTTCTAAATTTAGTTGTTGTTTTTTTTATATAGATTTATTTTTTTTTAATTTTAGAGGAGAAAATAACTATTTTACAATAATGCAATAAGACTTATTAATACAAATATTTATATAAAATTTTTTATTTCAAGCAATTTTTTTTTTAAAGTATAAACAAAAGTTTTCTCAACAATTGTTACACAAGCTACACCATTATTTGAATTATGCCTGTTAATAGTAGTATTATGTAATAGAAAATATAAGGAAAACCAGAAAGTTTATGACCGTAAGTGCTGATAAAAAGTTTAGCATCAATCAGCGTATTACCTTTTGATGTAGGAGAAACATTATTTCTTTCTTAGGCACCTGCATAATATTTTTTTTTAATATCTTCTTTTAACATCTTTTATAAACAAGGCTTATGATACAAATTTACTGGTGTACGTTGAGAGCAATTTTAAACATTAAAGACATTACAATACAATGTGAAAAGTGATCGGCATACTGCAATCCTCTCAACTGAATGAATGAGCAACTATCTTAGAAAATTCAACATAATCATTGTCACTTTTCCATAACTTACTGTCAAAAGCTTTAAAACTAAAAAACTTTTTTTTGTGTCTTATTATAATATATATATATATATATAAAGACATGACTTACAGAACAATCTTAAAACTAACTTTGAAAAATCAGTTAGATAAAAAAAATATTTAAAAAAAAAATTAATAATGTGTAAAATAGTTTGTATTGTTTGTTTTTTTTAAATAGCGTTGCCTATAGCTTCAGGTACATTCCCAAAACAAGTAAATAGACCATTGAGAACAGGGCCAGGTCCGCCGGGAGCAGGACCAGAGTATCTAGCTGGAGCTTGGACTTGTAAAGAGTGCACGTACATAAACTACCCAAGCCGTAGTGTTTGTGATATCTGTGGTTACAGAAACATAGCAGGTGGGAGAAATGTTGTCATCTTTTAGACCAGTTTTAAGACTGATTAGTTCATGTTTGTATTATTAAATCTAGTTACTTTTAACCTAAATAGCTTTTGCTTAATTTACCCTACTTATTTGTTAATTTAGATACTGAAAGTCTGGCGTATGAAACTGGTGGCCAGGTAAGATATTTACATTCATTTGTATTGGTATCTACTTTCTTTTAAATAGTGTTTGTTGTGTATATGTTTGTAAACTAGAAATGTTGAGTTTATGTAGGCATGGTTATATTTTATTATTTTCTGTGTATTCTGTTTACATTGGTTTGAATTTAAATTTTCTTTGCAGGAACTTCAGTCCAGAGGTGACAATGTAATGTTGGGTTTTCGTGACATAGAGACAGATACACAGCCTAAATGGCAGAGGTACTTTGGAAAGAGTTAAAAATAAAATAATTACTATAATATCTTTTTTTTTAATATTTTTTTTTTAAATGGCAAGACATGACCTATATATTTCATAGATTTTTTTCCAAATAAAGACGGTTACTTTTTTTTTTTTTCAGTGAATCAAGAAACATTTGATGACAACTAGAAGTGTCACAGGGACAATATTTTTGTAATGGCTACTTCCCCAGTAGTTAGAGTTTCAGAAGTGCAGGTGACTCGGGCCCATTCATTTTATCACACAGATTTAGTTGTCACTGAAGTTCTGGTCTTCAAAATCCTTTCTTAAATATATTTTTTCTCTGAATTAATAACAACATTTTTATATCTGCAATGTAATATTGCACTTCTAATGGATCTCAAACAAAATTATCTCATAACTAGTTTAGCTTAAATTAATTATAAAATTTCTTCATCAGCCTTTTGAATAAAACTAATTTACTTGTAGTGTATGATTATAATTTTTTGGGCGTCTTATTATTTGAGTTTACACTAGTAATTTAATAAAGTGCACATTTGTTAGCAGTGACCACAAGCCTAGAAGCCAATAAATGAGTCACCAAACCTTGAATCTTGTTTACATAATTTCCAAAATTGCAACTAGAATGTGACTTCATTCACTAGTACTTTCTGCCAGTACTTAGAAGGAAAAAAAAAGTGATCTAATTGCAGTGTTCACAGTGTTTAGAAATGTTGAGGAGATGGGACTGTACAGTTGAGGTCTCTATTCAGCTTCCTAATCTACTAGTTTGGCTTAACTAATCTACTTCTTATGAATTAGGTGTAGAATTGGATAAATTAACTAGTCTGAACTTTCTAGTTGTGGATTATTTCTGGATCATTTCATAATTGTGTTGTGTTGAATGTGGGGTAAAGAACCTGTAGAACTGGAGATGTACACACTTCAACAAAATGCAACACTATGGCACCTCCTAAAACAGTAGTATTTCTGTTTACTAATTTTGTTTTAAATTTGGCTGTAGTAATGCCATTTTTATATAGTACTGGTTTTTTAGACTTAGATGATTGATTCAGCAGTGTTTCTATTGTATATCTAGTATTAGATATTGTCAATCATATTTAACAAAATTGTGAACTGGCCTGTCACTAAAGACTTTCAATGTGTTCTTGAAGAAATACGCTTTTGCTTTTGTCATTTGATTATGTGCCACAATGTTGTGCTGTTATTCTTGATTAAAGATACAGCTGCTCCTGTATGCTCTGATTGAACACAATATTGAAATGATTAAAGAAGAGAAATAATCCTGGAGTAAAAATTCTTTAATGAAAAAATTCAACAAGAATAATTGTTTTAATCATAATGTAGAATTCAGATGAAGTAGATTATGCCACAATAGTAGTTGTAATTTAATTAACAGACTGCATTGAACAAAGCTTGACAGTATGCTTGCCTCTTCCAATTACAAGAGTATCTTTGCTATTTCTAAACACAGGAAGTGATGTTATGAGCTTTTTTATTCTTCTCATCACTGTCAGACATTGCTATTGAAATGATATCGTGATATTCAAGTTGCTATTTTATTTTTGTGAACAAGGTGAAGCCATATTTTCCAAAGACAAAAAAAAAAATTTTCTTATGATGTAACTTATCACTTTCTATTTAGCAGTATATTTGATTTACAAGTGTAAATTCACCTTGAACAATTATCCTTGTAGTAGTGTATCTGTATTTGGTTTTTAAAATAAGTTGATAAGTCCATGCAGGAGAAGATAACTGCAGTTTTATATATTATTGCATCTGTTCAGTAGAAAAAAAAATAAATAAGTTAAATGCCATATCACTTTCTTCATTAAATCTATAATTATATTAACTTGTTGCCATTCCTGAATATACCTGATAGAAGACCTGGCCATAAAGCTTGACAAAATTTGATCTCTAAAGTAAACATTGGGTCAAAGGTTTATCAGTGGGATATATTAAAAATGAGTGGGAAATTAAATGATTGACCACTTCACCAGCCACTCATTTTGTGCAGCGACCTACATCAATGTGGTCATCTTTGTTTTTGTGATCGTTTTGTTCTGTTTCAACAAATTTTATGTTTATTTGGCTGGGTTTATCTGATGAGAAATAAGAAGAAAATAATGTATCTTTAAAAATAATTAACTTGCACCAGCGATGTTAGTACAATGTTTGTACTGTTTTGTCTTTTTATTCAACTATTATTTTTAGTGCATTGATAAATATTATTTTTGTCAACAAATGTCTGATGATTGGCCTACGGAACAATATGGAAGTCATGAAAATCCAAATATTAAATAAGAAATGTCAACATTACATTAATAAAAAGTTGAAATGTGAAATTAATTCAACATTAAAACATAATTTTATCTTTTTCTAGGCCATGAACAAGTTGTAAGGGATACAATTTATATATCATTTAGGGTGGGTGGGGGCTAATTTTTAAAATGAAAAACATATTTTTCATGCCATTGACTATGCCATTAGCTGAGAATCATTGACTTTAATATTTATTATGAAAGTTTTTATAAAGTCATTAGCAAACGAAATTGATGATGGTTTCATTTAAGAAACTGAATAATACCATCATTAGAATACTCAGTAGTCAATTGCATGGAAAATATGTTTTTCATTTTAAAAATTAGCCCCCACTCATGCCATCAAGAATTGAATAAAGAATTGATGCAGCCATCAATAAATCTTTATATTTTAATTGGTGATGTCATCCATAGAAAGAACTGATTAACCATCAAGTTAAAGATTAACTCTGTGGTATTTAACAAATCTGATAATGCCATCAATAAAAAAATCTATACAACAATTATTCTTAAAGATTGATGATACATTTATGTAAGGAATTTTTAAGACTTAAAAAAAAAGTTTTTTTTTGCAAATTTACAAAATGTAAACAGAATACTTTTTTTAAAAAATTATCGAAAATTTGGAAATGTAAAATTGTTATTGATGTTTGGAAATTTAAAAATATTGTCTAAGTTTGGCAATGTAAAAATGTTGTCTAAGTTTGGAAATGTTAAGATAGTCTAAGTTTGGCAATGTAAAATGTATAAGTTTGGAAATGTAAAAATTTTGTTGTGAAAATGTAAAAATGTTGTCTAAGTTTCAAAAGGTAGACATGTCTCTTGACTAAGATCTAAGTCTAAGCAGAAGGAAATGTTTTCTTTTTGTGTGAAGGTTTCACTTTGATATTGAAGACATTGTTGAGGACTAGAATGTCAGAACAATGTACTGTAGTGATCTAGTTTAGTTTAGAGACTATATTAGTTTGTATAGAAATATTGAGCTTTGTAGTGACCTAGCCACACAGACTAATGACATTGTAGATTAGGAGTACACTAAATAACAATATGGTTTGAGCTTGAAACAAGATGCATCAAAATGAACTGCAAGAATTGACGGATTTAGAGACATGGAACAATGCTCCCATTATGTAAAAAAAGACATCATTGAAGTCTTCACAAGTCTTATCGTTCTTATATTATTCTTGTATCCCTTGAATATGTCAAACTTTTATTTAGTATTGAGTAAAAATCACACCAAGTCATTTCAGTCATCTTGTGAGATTAAGTCAAATCAAGAGCTGTGAACAGACACAAACACATTCAAGTACCTTGGACATTTTGGTGACCCCGGAGATGAACAATGAACATCATTGATTGAATTCTGGTACTTGAATGTGTTTGTTCACTGCTCTTGACTTACTTAATCTCACAAGATTACTGACTTCGATGACTTGGTGATTTTTACTCAATACTTGCGAGTTCGACACATTCAAGGGACACAAGAATAATAAAACAATAATACACTTAATAACAACGATACAATAGTCCTGTGAAAACTTCAAAAAATTATTTTTTTACACATGGGAGCATTGTCCCATGTCTCTAAATCTGTCAGTATTTCCTTGCAGTTCATCTTCTTGCATCTTGTTTCAAGCTCAAACCATATTGTTATTTAGTGTACTCCTAATCTACAATGTCATTAGTCTGTGTGGCTAGGTCACTACTTTTTTACTGTCACTAAATACAATTCTCAATATATAGATAGTCTCTATGCTAAACTGAACAACTACATTTCCTCTCCCCTTTACATTTCCTCTCCCCTTTACATTTCCTCTCCCCTTTACATAAATATAAGAAGATTTAGTTTTCCTTCTAAAGAGAGCCAACGTGTAATGTCTGCCAGTGTGAACATTTCTAAGCTTTCTGCTTTCTTCCAGCCTTTAGTACTAGAATGAAGTATCTTACATTACCCAAGCGAACATGTATCTTTTTTTTATTTACAACCATTTCTTTACATTAGATTCTAAGTATATCCAGATCTCATGACACTTCATGTCTATGAAAACATGTGTAGCTGTAGTTCAGCCAGAAATTGTGTTGCTGTAAGGCTGATCACGTTTAGAACAATACACTAGACATACATATATTGGAAACTCTGCTAGACTAAAGTAAAAACAAAATGTTTGGGCCGCGAGGCCTTCTTCAGCTCCAAAACCAACAAAAAGGACAATTTACACAAAATAGGCATTTTGTTAATTCATCTGTCCGATAACTTAAAAATTAATACAATTTTATTTTAATTCTTTTTCGTTTATCAAGGCCGAAAAGAAATGAGCGTTACGCTCTGGTAAAAGCGCTGGAAGAGGCGGTCGGACTACATTGAGTGTGCCAAAAGGGAAGGGGAGTAAAATGGTAAGCTCCGTCTCACTGTAGAGAAATTTTGGTTGTTGATCCCGTTTGGAAAGATGATAACTGACATACAAGTTTGTTCTCTGTCACTCACTGTTGTGTAGCAGTGAGGAGATCAGTGGTCTCCCTTTTGTTGTGTACTTTATGCATAGAAACAGACTTAGTTTCAGAATTTTGAATGTTCTAAGGTATTCATAGAGTTCTGGTTTTTAAGGCATACTCGTGTTACCAATACAAATCATACTTTATTTTATTTAATGGTCCTTTCGCATTGACCAGTTGAAATGACCATGTCAAAGGCACCATATGATTTTTCAAAATTGGAAACAATATTCACTTGAATAGTACCCAAAACAAGGCGCACACTGATCTCTACTGCTATACAACACTGCTGTGAGTGACAAACATCCATCCAAGGAGAGAGAACAAACTCATATAAACATCTTTCCACACAGGATCAGCCAATTTCTGTTCCATGAGACTGAGATAAACATCCTGACACTTCCCAAATGTTTTTGATCACACCCAATCTTCTTAGTCCCACCGCATCTTGACAATTTACCGCGCTTTTACAACAACATACGTTCATTTCTGTTCGTCCTCGATAGCCTGAAATAACATCGAGAAGTTCCTTCTTCTTCTTCTAGCTATTAATATACCTAGTTTGTATGAACAGATAAGCTATTAATATACCTAGTTTGTATGAACAGATAAGCTATTAATATACCTAGTTTGTATGAACAGATAAGCTATTAATATACCTAGTTTGTATGAACAGATAAGCTATTAATATACCTAGTTTGTATGAACAGATAAGCTATTAATATACCTAGTTTGTATGAACAGATAAGCTATTAATATACCTAGTTTGTATGAACAGATAAGCTAATAATATACCTAGTTTGTGTTTATTGTTGGTTTGAAGATACTTAAGGCCTTGTTGCCCAAAGTCACGTGTTCCTTCTCTAATCCAGTCCAGCAGGTTTTCTACAAGTATGTGTATTGCATTTTTCTATACAGTTGAAACTCACCTATCACATAGTTATGGATTTTTTTATTTTGCTATATTTTGCATTAATGGCCTACTTTTGAAACAGTCATATATACTGTAATATCATGATGTAAACATTTGACTAATTAACTACAGTTTTTACAAATCATTACCATCAGTCTGTTTTGAAGGAAAAACTTCAGAGGCTCAAAATTCTTGAAAGCCCAGGTTGCTTCGTTCTCGACTCATTGCACTGTCAGAAACTTATTTCAGGACAGCTATGTTATTTGCACTACTGTTTTGTTTACAGTTGTCGGTTTCTTTCAATTATTTTGTGTACCCACTGTCTTGGGTTTCCTTCATTTATTTTGTGTACCACTGTCTTGGGTTTCTTTCATTTATTTTGTGTACCACTGTCTTGGGTTTCTTTCATTTATTTTGTGTACCACTGTCTTGGGTTTCTTTCATTTATTTTGTGTACCACTGTCTTGGGTTTCTTTCATATATTTTGTGTACCACTGTCTTGGGTTTCTTTCATTTATTTTGTGTACCACTGTCTTGGGTTTCTTTCAATTATTTTGTGTACCACTGTCTTGGGTTTCTTTCATTTATTTTGTGTACCACTGTCTTGGGTTTCTTTCATTTATTTTGTGTACCACTGTCTTGGGTTTCTTTCAATTTCTTCTTTGACTCTGTTTTCTCTTGATGTTTGTTACATTTAGAACCAAAAGAAAAAAGCTAAAAAAAAATATTTCTAAATTTATTTATTTATATATATATACACTAAAAATTATTATTTGTTGTCTTTATACTTATTATTTTGTTTTTGTTTTTCAAACTTTTTTTTTCCATTCCTAACAAAAATGTCAATATTTAATCATTGTAATTCTTAGAATTTTTTTCCTTCTGTAATTGTTTGATCAAGCTGACATGTATAACAGTGTATCTCCCAGGTTTGTGCTAAGGCTCCAGCAGCAGTGGGACAGTACAGTGTCTTGTCCAAACATTGGATCTAGTGAAACTTTGACCAAAGTACCACTCTGACTGAAATATGTTGAAGATGTTAACACATATTTTACTGTTATCTACACCATCACTTTGTTCTATATGTTGAATATGGGGTGAATCAGATTCAAATTCAGAAGATAGACCCATTCAATATGCTATGAACAATGATATTTACTCAGGGAAGCTTGAAAACTGCTGGAACTCTGTAATGAAATAGTCTCAAAACACAGCAGTTGCTTGTTGATCTGGTGACTTAACACCCATGTAAGCTGAGCTCTATTGTGAAAATATGTGAACACTCCCTGTTGTAAAGGCACTGTGGTCTTGAAGGGTTTTAGTGTGACACTTTTTTCTTGTAAAACTATGCAACTTTAAACTTATTTTAAACGTTATTACTATTATTATTCTAGCAGCACTAAGGGATAGAAAAAGTACAACACTGATTAGTTCAGATGAGCCGAGACCAATTGTTATAACTTAAAGATCTAGTTCTATACTAGACCAGTCTTTCACAAACTTTTTCTTTAACGGAACACTTCGTAGCATTGGAGAATTTAGCGGAACACTTCGTAGCATTAGAGAATTTAGCGGAACACGTACCATTGGAGAATTTAGCGGAACACTTCGTACCATTGGAGAATTTAGCGGAACACTTTCCCTTTTTTTTAGGCTGGATAATTTCCTGTTTGTTTAAATAAAACAATAATAATTAAACCCTATTCTTAATTTACCTTGATGATTTCAAATCTATAACTAGGCCTATAATAAAATGCATACAAACAATGTACTAAAAAAAATAATGTTGATTAGGGTTCCGCGAAACACAGTTTGGGAAACACTGTAGGCAGGTCTACTAGACTGTAAGGATCGGTCTCGCACTAGCCCCCCTAGTGCTGCTATTAAATGTTACATTTAATATATATTCCTATTTTGCTTCATCCTCCACTCGTGTATTATATTTTATTGTTTCCTTGAACACTCTACCACTTACAACTGTTGCTTAGTTACATGTCGTAGGATAGATCAGCGCTCAATACTTTTGTAGACGTCTGACTGAGCATGCGCAACAGAAGACATGACAGGAAGTGGTGTAAACACCTCTGTAGTATGAAGAGTTCACAACACTGCGGCATGCTCTAAAACATAACACTTGAAAATAAAACATCAGCCTTTATTGCCCTTTAAAATGTTTCCGTCGTATTTAAAAAGCTGACATCTTAAAAGACAGTATTTTATGCATATATTTAGAAATATTGACCTTAGGCCACATCTTGTTTATGTTCTATCTAAATTAAATGGTATAATGATGAAATGTACATTGTAAAAACTCCAGGATTGCACAATTTTATATTTTGTTTACTATTTCTTCAAGTCTTGAAAGTACATCTTATTTCTTTTTTTTAAATCTCTATTGGCTTTATTTTGTATGGGTTTTGATTCCAGATTAGTTGATCATAGTAACTCATTTTCAATAGTACAAAATATTTTTCAGAGAGATTTTTGTGTGTGCCTATTTTTCTCTTTTCAGCTTATTTGTGTTATAATTATGTTATAATTTTAAGATACTTTCTTTTATATTTTTGTTATATGTATTCCTGAACACTTTTATTAGTCTGTAATATAAAACAAGACGGTTTCATTTGATATCAAGACTTTTTGTTTTTGTTACCCCTCTATTTTGTTATGTTTTTGGAACACAGCAAGTCAGTTGTCCAAAGATTGAAAGTCTTTCTGGTCAGAGGCGTTAGGTTTCTAATCCCTTGATTGACATATTGGTTCAACTGAATGTTAGGTTGGTCTTTTGGATGTCCACAGAGTGAATTGAACGAATGTAGTTAGGGTCACATCGACAACTGAGTCACAGACTGTTGCTTCTAGAACCATTCCTTTACCCGACCACCAGACAATTCGTTCACCTAACAACTGGTTCACTTGACAATTCGTTCACCTAACAACTGGTTCACCGCTCCGTTGGTTTAGCAACAATCGGTTCACAAAAATGGTGATCACAAATGTGTGTTCCAGGACGTATTCTTAATGCATACATTATTTGTGCGAGTCTAGCAGGATATGACCACTATGTTACTGTCACCTTTAACGAAGAGATCCTGACTAAAAACAAATTAATTAGCACTCTTTTGAATTGTCAGTGAATCAATATTTATGGATGTCATTTGTGTGTGAACCAGTTGTTACGAACGAATTGACTTTGACCCCAAGTTATAAATTTTTTGTATTAATGGGAGGGAGGGGGGACGGTGTGACCATTAACC